AACAACAATATTATGAGCAAACTACTACGTGAGTACTTGAGCTAATATAATAACCAGAGCAGCTTGGATGGAACAACAACCTCGGCGGCGGCTGTATACAATAAATGGCTCCCATTTGTACGATCAATAGTTTGTTGTGATGTGAGAGATCCACACAGATTAACTAAGAACATAGTGGTCGTTAAAAATGGCAATGAGACATCGACTTTGGCATACAAATTGTTATGGAATCGAAATACTAACTGGAGAGCTCACAAAGATACGACTTTAAAGAAGCAACTTAGCGAATAATTCGGGTAAACTTCATGAAAAACCAAAATAAATAGATAAAAATATTTACACATAAGTATGTATATATATAAAATGTTGATTGATGACATAACACTTATGATAAAAAGTAAAACAGCTAAGCTCATTTATGATTACACAAGGCGTAGACGCGGGCCCCACTGCTCGCAGCCTTATATTGTCACGACCGATGCCAGCGCACAATTCATTATAATAAGTTTTCAAAGGAAACGAGTACACCTGCCATCGGTTACGGTAACGTACCACAGTTCATTGAGGCACAATCATTGGTTTATTTTAATTGCTTTTATATTATTTTTTTCTATTTTTTTCTTTTTTATTTTTTTATTATTATCATTACTTTCTTACGTTCAAAATCTACGATAATTATTATAATTACTTTTAGGTACGTAAATTTATTCTAAATAACAGAAACAAGTCACGAAAAATTGTTAGAAGTGAAAGCATGAAGCGTATTAAAATCCTTTAAGAATATAATTTCACAATATATACATATTACGAGTATAGTAAGATATAAATATACAACAACATAATAAAATAACACAGACTAAATTGCACGTGGCGCAATCGTGTACAGGAAATATTGAAGCAGTCATTGGACCGAGAGGAGATTCAGTTAAACGCGGCGCAATCGCCTCTTCTCACAACCTTGCCTTACGTCCGTGGCCGTAGGAACGTGCGTACGTGCGTACGTCCGTACATGCGTCCGTCCGCCCGTCCGCAGACGCATCTCGGCATTGCGCGCGACCCGACTCGCGACTCCTATCGAATACCTAACACCACTACACCACAACGCTTACGTTATGTCTCATTTTATAACTAATATACTTTATTAAGTACTGTTTAGTTTAAACTGACTAAAAATTTCAAGGCATGACTTACATCGTCTTTACTCTATGGACAACATATTCTAAAGGGCACTGGATCATTATACGAAAATTTTTATAAAATTATGATCTTTATTGCTGTAATAAATTCACTAGACCCAAAAGTGTTGCCAGTTAAGGCGTTCTTGAATTTTAGTTCGGACAGAATAACATGAGATAAAAATAATATCTTTGTATACTATATACTATCAAATTAAACACCCTTTCTTCAAATTGAGCTCGACAACAATAGAATTGACTTTGGATGTTTAAAACTGCGTGCGCTATTGTTGCATAAAGTAACACGAATGATTTAGGAACATTAGATCAATAACCCGTACCACAAACTAATTTCAAAATTAATTTGGAAGATATGTATAATATGTAGAGATGCTATAATATTGTTCCGGATACCTTTTCATATCTTTGATACTCACTCTTTGGCACCTAACATTAACGTCACGATGACAAGGTCATTATGGCCCCTATTAATGAAACTAAATTTTTGTGTTCCTATTGCATAAACCCTGCCATTAACATAGTTTATTTCGTACAGTCTATTTCAATACAGTAAAAATGTTTCGCCATACAGCGAACATAGTAGATCTCGACGAGTCTATTGTATCGTAGTATAAAAACGTAAATATGTTTTATACTTTCAAAAACAACAGAGCACACGCAAATGAAAATAGAGACATTTTAACATCGATCATCGGTCCACTAGGCGGTGAAAAGGTACAAGCGAAGAAATGCTGACTTTGTTTCTAAATGAACACATCATACAGCGAAACATTTAACACTATAACTACCACAAGTTCAAAGCGATCGAAGAGTTCAAACGCACTATACTTTCAACAACACGCTCTCACCTAACGTATTTCATTAATTTGTGAAGTTACCGAGCGTTCGCCCAGCAAGGTACAGCGATTACTTAGACGCCTACGCTTAACACTAAAAACGTTATGTTTAACTCGTAAGATCACTGGAAGATACTCGAAATACAACGCACTGTACATTAGTCATTCGCTTTGTGTGATCGTAAAGCGTGGTGGGTCCGTCCAAGACGGGGGCGCGGCCGCCCGGAGTCTTTCGTCAGGGGAGGAGGGCGAGGCGCAGCTGCTGCCGCATATCGCCACGTATCGGCACATATTGCCATGTATCGCCACGTATCGCAGCGCACATATGACGAACCGTGGCATTTTCGAACATACCGCGACTTTAATCTCGCCTCTCTTTACTAATCCCGTTAAATATTGGTAATGATATATTTTGGCAGAGTATCTCTGTGGCACACCATTAATAAATTAAAAAAGTAAATAAAAAATGTAAATAAACTTTATAATAACGAACATTTACACGTGCGAATTGTTGCCGTTAAAATATCAATAGTATGCTTATCGAAACCTACGATAGGATTTAAGTGTAAACTTATATCTACAATGATGTAATACCGGGAGGCCTACGACTACAAGTATATTATTAACAGAATATCTAAAGCATATGTCACTTTGAATAACGTTCAAATTGAGCCTATAGAAAATACCACAAATCTTTTATATTAAATAGATATTGATATGGCTAAATTTAAGTTAGAACTTTATCCTTACCTATACACAAAAGTGTAATATTTTAAATTACTGTCAATTATAGTACTTTTATAACACTTCTCACAAATGTATGTAATATAAAATGATAAAACAATTTTTAATTTAATATATTAGGTTACCCTTACATTAATCGTATAATCTAGATAATCGTTTTATATATTAAACATAAAGTGGCACTTGAATCACAAATACTGGAAAAAATTTGGGGAAACAGCGTCGGCGGAGGCCGACCGCCTCGCTACCACCATACCTCCAACAAAATAGATAACCCTTACATTAGGCAAGATACTTTACATCACAGGATACTGGATTGCGTTTGCGATTGCGATTGCGGTGAGCGGTACGCTCGCTCCGGCCCACGCTCTTTTCCATTTCAGACTATGCGGCTTAAAGGAAATTTTACCTCTACAAGAATGCACTTCCAATCTCATCATTATCAATTTTTTTTTGCTATATACGTAAAAATTACTTACTAATTAAAAAAAAGTTAAGTCGGGCGAAATGCACTTACACGTTTATTGCTGGATAAAATATCACTAATGGAAAACGAAGGCTCATCGCGATTGAGAATTTAAAACAGAATAATAAATAATTAAAATACACTCAGTATGCACAAAACTAGAAATAATAATAGTTAAAAAAAATAAACACGAAAGAAACTCGGAACGCAACAGCTCTACGGGCGAAACAGCAACAGCCCTCGAGCGCAACAAAAATAAATACACACTAAAATAAGGAAGGCCACGGGACGAGTGACTGAGGTAGCCCGCGACGAAACTACTCTATGTCCGATACCTTACGTTATTTGGTAATTACAGGAGCGAGACGCTAACGCGGCCGCGATCACGAACGCAAGAGCGAACGCAACAATTGCGAACCAAACGTCTCATAACCGTAATCGTGTTTGCGTGTGTTACCGTCACAGATACTAAGAAAGGGTTTTATTACATTAAGTTACCTAAGAAATTTTCTCAAAAGAAATGTCGTTTAAAATTTTCAAAATATTTCCCCAAAAATATATGAAATAATATTCATTCCAATATTTTTTAAGAAAATTATCAAAAATTATTCGAAATGTACCCGACACTACTTAACCGTTGCATTTGAAATTCAATGGGGGGGGAGGGAAAGGCTACAGGTGCATTAAGGACTAAGATTTAATACAGCCGGTTAATATTCCAACCGAAAAACAGCAGTAGATGTAACTGCTTGACTTCAGCCCATCCTCCTATAGTTGTAAATTTAACCAAATTCACATTTAGCCACATAGATACAACCATAATAGCGAGGTATGACAGAGATAACAAAAGTAACTGTGACTGATTCTGGGCACAAACAAAATTAAAGACGACCCTTGCTATAAATAAGAACGGAATCATGATAGCGAGCGTGACCACGATTCCGAACGTAATTATGATCGTGATCGCGAACACGAACCCGAATGCGAACACTCGCGACACAACGACAACGAACAGCGAGCGTCAGACAAGCGACTGGTTTGAGTCTAACCCAGACCAACGCCCGTCCCGACATAACCTACTATATACTTCATATAGATACAATAACCGCCGATACATTATATGTCTGCCATTGTATATGTATAATTCTTATGTACACTAAATAATCTACATGAACACTTACGACACAGTAGATAATAGAATTGTGGACAGTTGGCTATAGCGACCGCGTCGCGTCGCGTTCACTCGCGACTCGACGCGTCCGACACGATCTGACTAGGCGAATAAAATTAGTCCGTCCCAGTACGGGGGACGGCGAAGCGTAATTAGAAGTAGACACCCTTTGGTTCGCAATGGTAGGACACATGCGCTGGTTGGATGCTCAACAACTAGTTTAGATGTGACAAGTGGAACTGGGTATGAGACATTAATAAATACGTAACAAAAATTTAACTACACAATCAAAGTTAACACACACAAAATGAGGGGTGTAAATTCAATATGCCCGCAACACCATTAACACACTTCTTGAATATAATTACTTTGTACATGATTACCCCAAATGATAGCGCAAAGCTATCAAATTATTTATATGGTAGTAACTGACATCACAAGTTTTGTCACCATTATCGACTTGGCATCCCAGCAACGCTTGCATCATGCCCGAACCAAGCAGGTTACTCTCACAGGCTATCGATAGCTGAAGAATCAATGCATGTTAGTATATGCCTGAATTGTTTCCTTGCAGGGCTCTGGGGCACTTATATCGACTCCCCTCCGAGCAGGTCTGGTGGCAGGAAGGAGTTAAGGGAAGAGGGCGTAGCGCGCTGCTCGTGTTGGTCAGGCCACAGCCCAGGGAAGCCCCAGCCATCCTTGCCGCCGCCGCCGCGCCAGGCGCCGCCGCCGCCTGATCCCAGGTGCTGCAGAATCATTTGCACCTCAGACTCGGCGGGCGACTCCGCGAATATCGTAGTGTTGCTCAGCACGCAGTTGTTTAGAGCCATCTGCGCCTACATGACAAAAGTTTGGTCAAGCCTTGGACATCTTATAGACACTTACTAAATGGATCTTCGTCAGTGAGCCTGTAAATCTTAGTAGTAGTAGTTCTGAATAACTTGACTTGGATTGAGGTGAGGGAATAATAATTTTTAATATTATTTTTGAGCATCATCAAATGTATCATCGTACCATTACAGTTATGTATACAGCCTTATTATATTATACAGTGACCTCCAAAAAATCGACCCACCAACGTTTTTTTCGCAAAAAAAGTGTCCTATGGGTATTTTACCAAAATCGATAGATATTTTTTATCTTAATAATGTAATACAGTAAACCCTCATTAATGCGAACACGGTTAACACGAATTTTGGTTTAAGGCGAACAAAAATTTGCTCTAGACAATAGTTCTTTAAGCTTCAATGTAATTATGTTCGGTTAAGACGAACTCTCGTTAATACGAACTTCGAACAACTTTTTCGTCCCTTCACGGTTAATTATCGGATAATACGGACTATAAAAATTCCCAAATCATGTATTTTGTATATTTTTTGTCCTTTTTCGGTCAGTACAAATACCGGTAAACAATGGCTGAAGAGGTTAGAAAAGTCATTAACTCGAGTTTCTAAAAATAGACAAAGGATTAGGATATCAAACATTCACTCCAGTACCTAAAAATAGAAACAATACCTCAAATTTTTTTTCCGTCTTACAAAAGCTATTGAAAAAGTTGTAAACTTTTGAAAACTAATTAACAAAAGCAAAAGCTTCTTAACAATTTGGCTTTGTTAAGAAGTGTACATATAAACTGATGTCTGATGAACATAATAATAATGTTAAGTTATAAATGATATGTAGGTAATAATAATGTTAAGTTAAAAAATTTATAATAAAAAATTATTGTAAATATAAAATAATATTACAGTTATTAATAAAAATGTTTCTATGATGAATCATAATATTGAGTTTAGAAACACGAATTCATTTTTTGCATTGTTCGGATTACACGAACTCCCCTGTAACACGAACTATTTGTATGATTTTTTCGTGTTCGTGTTAACGAGGGTTTACTGTAATACAATTATAGGGTTGTAAAAAACTAAAAAACGGTGCGTGAAACGGGATATTTTAATACAAATGTGATGAGACATAACAAACCATCACATTTAAAAAAAATTACGATTTTTATGTGAAGATCGATATTTACATTTTTGGACATTTTTAAAAATGTAAACCTTTCTTCAATAAGGGGTGTTTCCTCGTCTTGCTTTTATCACCGCCTGCATAAGCCTATTAAGGGAACGGGGTCAGTTTTTTTATGGGTATCTGTTCCTATTCTTCTGTTAAGGTGGCTTCCAGTTGATCAAACGTCTCGGGAACTGAATTTCGGGCCCTAACCTTTCTTTTTATCTGGTCCCAGAGATGCTCGATGGGATTTAAGTCTGGACTATTAGCTGGCCACTGCAAACTGAAATTCTGACCTCCTGAAGATATCCAGTCACAATTCTAGCGACGTGCGGTCTTGCGTTATCATGCATGAGTTGAAAATTGTCCCCAATATACCCAGAGCAAGGCATCACATCGTAAGGTTGCAAAATGTCCGTAAGGTATTATATACGTAATTTTCAGCATTAACCGCACGATTGCGAAAGAAAACCAAACTCAGTACATCCAGTTAAAGATATGCCACCCCAAAACATTATAGAGCCTCCCTCCACCAAATCGGACTGTTTCTCTTATGCAACACTGAGCATAATGTTCTCCTGGTCTTCGCATAACGTTACAACGTCCGTCAGAGCCTACAAGAGTCATTCAGTTTTCAACGCTGAAGAAAACTGTCTCCCATTGACCAAGATTCCATTGCATGTGTTGCCTAGCAAATTCCAACCTCACTTGCCGATGAGATGCAGTGAGTTTGGGTCCTGTCGTTGGCTTGTGTAATGTCAAGTTTGGCTCCCGAAGTCTTCATCTTACCGTATTCTCACTGACAGACAGACACTCCAACAGTTTCCCTGAGCCTACCTTGAACATCAAAAGCAGAAAGATGTCGATTTCGTAAAGAAGTCAAGGCAATAAAACAGTCATCCGAAGGGTTTGTGAGACGTCCTCTTCCAGACGCTGGTCTCCGGCGGTACTCTCCCGTCTCTTCATAACGTTTATAAACTCTATGCACTGCTGATCAACTCAAATTTAATCTCCTTACCACATTTCGCTGACTTAGCCCTTCACGAACGAGAGCTACCACTTGAGCTAATTATAGCATAAACATTAACATAAGGCATAAACATAAGGTGGGTCGATTTTTTTGGTTGCCAGTGTAGTCCACTTAACATAGGCCTCTGCTAGAGATCGCTTCATAAGCCATTTGCCATGCAGTTTACTTTCATTTGTTATTAGGAAGTTGCTGCTGCCCTCTATCGCCTCTAATCACACTATGGGACAGTATTAGATAACAGTTACCGTTATCATCATAATGTAGATAAAATGATTTCTATTTTTAATTATGTTAAAGACTTGTCTTAGTCTATAATAAAAACCATTTTTATTGAAAACACTAATTTGTTTTCTCTTTTTTTATAGGATAGGGTGCAGGAGTTCAGAGACTAAGAGATTTTTTTCCATAGAATAAGGTTGACAAACGAGCACACAGTCCACCTGATGGTAAATGGATGCTGTGGCCCATAGACATCTACATCTATCCTCGATTACGAATCAAAATGCAGATGCGTTGTCACCCATGAGCACTAATATGGAATGCCTTGTTTCCAGTAAAAAGTATCTGCAGTTCCTCACCATACAAAACACAGTAGCAACAAGCTGCTATTTCACGCTGGTATTCTGTGAGCGTGGTCCTTCCCCGGTCAAGCCGACCCATTCGTGCTACAACTATACTACTAATAATATAACTGCAGCATATCTCTACCACGTGTAATTAGTGATTACAATTTCTAGCGAAATGTTTGTTTTCACAGCAAGAATTCGATCCTGAGGACCTCATGATCAACAGTCGCGTTTACATTCACTAGACCAAGGAGGCAATCACCAGTTGTACATAGATATTAAATAAAAATCAAGTAAGTTTTTCACAAAAGGAATCCCTTAGTCTTGCCAAAATTTGACATTAGCAGTCAAATTCTATACTTTAGATTCTACTTCGCATATTTTCTGTGGGCCTTCTTTCCATGAAATAGAAAGGCAGTCTTAAAAATAGTAAGGTAACCTTAGAGTAATTGCATACATATGTATGTAATTACTCGTATGCACAGAGGAAGCTTACAATTCTACATAAATTGAGTCAATATACTTATTTAACTTTTCTAGATTATTTTCCAAATATAATAAGAAGAGAAAACAATTAAAAGATGTTATGTGAATTTTTGCATAGAACTTGACTGACAAGTGGCCATCTTTTGTTTATTTATACTATGCCAAATATAACTAAAACAATAACATATGGCATATATTTGAGAGGAAAATTTAATACTTTTTTTATTTATGTTATAGATTTCTCAAAAGATAATAGACAATAATATTAATTGCCCGTAAAAAAGGTAAAAACATTTTGAGCCACATACCTTAGCAGCCTCTTCACGAGTAGAGTACCGTGCAAGAGCAAGCCCCTGGTTCAAGTACAGGTGGAAATTTTGCAATGGTCCATGCTGAACGCACAGTGTCTTTAGTGTCGATCCATCAATCTGTATTATAAAAAATAGAAAAATGAGCTTACACTTTACTTAAGATTCAGAAATATAAAATTAAAACAATAAGCTATTTTAGTATAAAACTGACCCCAAGTTACCTCTCTTTTTGAGAACAAACAAAATACACTACATCACAGACCATTATAATTTACAGAATCCTTCAGTAGAAACACATAAAATCTAGCCAATATACAGTTGATAAACAATATTTGTGGTTTAAGTATAATGGGACAATTTCTATTATTGAAGTTGTAGCAAAAATACATATGCTATGAAAGATCACTTATTTATTTCATGTGCATGATTTAAATTAAAAAAAAATGCCCGTTCAGTAACTCAACTAACCTGTGCAGTAAGATTCTTCAAAAGTAGCCAAGTAGACGCCTGCCAGGAAGGCAGTGCTCTTTGGTTAACATGGTGCTGGGGCCAGGGTTTATTCAGTCCTGGAGGCGCGGGCCGAGGCTTCGCCCCCCAGGCGTCCGCTTTCAAGCCTGCCGCCGCGCCCACAGCCCCCGAGCTGCTAACGGGCGGAGCGTAGCTCCAAGTGGAAGAAGAAAGAGAGCGTTCGCCCCCCTGGAGGCGAAGTCTTTCCTCCCAACATGTCAGTGTCTTTAATCGTAGCTAAAGAAAGTGGTGAGCGGACTACCGAGCCCGGTGTCATTGCTGGATCATCCTCTACATTCTTCATCATTTGATTGCCCTGTTAAGTATTATAAGTGTTATTTTTTTTAGTTATACTCCTTCATGGAGTTGTAGAACTTATTACAATCAAATAATTACTTGAATAACTTGAATTCAATTACATCTCAAATAGATCAATATCAAAAAAATAGCTTTTATAATGCTTATTAGTTAATGAGTATTAGATCATATCATAAAAGTTTACGTGGTAGAACCAAGCTGCAGCTATATTATGGTTGTAGTACGAATAGGTCGGCTCGACCGGGGTAGGTCCACTCTCTCACGGAATACCAGATAAAATAGCTGGTTAATATTGCTGTGTTTCGCATGGTGAGTGTAGAAAACTGAAAACTTTTAACTGGAAATGAGACATTCTATCTTAGTCCTCAAGATTGACAATGCATTTGCATTTTGATTTTAATCAATGATAGATGTACATGTTCATGGGCCACAGCATCCACTTACCATCAGGTGGACTGTGCTCTCTTGTCACCCTAATTCTATACAAAAAACAAAACTCACCTTCCATGGTTTGCCAGGTTCAAACTCAGGCACAAGATCATAAACAGGTTGATGCGCAGGATGCGAACCCCATGCATCTTTTCCATCAGCCACATCAGCACCAGTATCACCCCAACCTTCCGTACTACGTCCAACACCCCATGTACTGAAAAGTAATATCTATTGTAAATGTCGTAACCCTAAAAATTCAAAATTTACATACTTATAATATTCAAAAGGAAAATGAGTATTTTTGCTTTATTACTCTCAAAATTGTGTTAAGATATACACACTAGTTTCAAAGTCATATTCAAAAAACGTATAGGTATGTTATGTGAGATGGTGGCATATGTAAAACTTACGTATCAGGCTGTAATCCAAGTTGATTTAACTGAGGGCTGGTGGTAGACTTGGCTGTACCAGGCGCTCGGCTGAACTCTGAACCGTCGCTGTCCTTGTCAAGTGAAGGCAACTTCCACTGGTTAAGGCGCGACTGCTGATTTCCACTTGCACCATAGGCCTAGATTATAAAAAATATTTGTGACATTTTAAAATTATGTCTCAGTAAGTAAAATCTCACTTCAACTACAATTTCATACATTTGTGCATCATTCTGATTTCTTTACTTTAATATCTTTTTAAACCTTGAAATATTTGATAATAAAATAAATTGCAGTATCTATAATTTGAATAACTTTACCGATTGAGAGTCCTTTGTAATGCTCATATCACTAAAATTGTTCTGTAAATGTACAAGCGGATCATGGGCCTGTTTGAACAGGTCTGCTCCACCAGCTTGTTGCTTCATGTACAAGGCTTGCTGTGTCGCTATTTGGTTCTGTTAGGAAAAACAAATCAATTACAAAATCATAAAATATCTATATTATATTTAATGGGCTACAATAGAAAACGAAATTTATGAGCTTCTCCTTTCTTGGATGTCGTAGGTATGTAATCTGCACGCGTTCTGAACGAGATGAAACCTTGTCTAAGTTATTTGAAATTGACAGTTCTAGAACAAAGTAGGTTTAGTAAATAAATTCTAAAATTCGAAATATTTAACATTTATTTATTTATATGATCAGACATACTTACACTTATGACCAATTTACACTTCGACAAGTATAGTAGCGAGTTTAGTTACAGGGCAGTGGACAGTAAACGGTTAAGTGGGCAGTAGCATTCAAACAATGTCTTTGTGGCGAGTTTAGTTAAGGACATTAGTTCATAGAGTTCGTTGGAGTATGACGTTTCAAGACTACAGAATTTTTCCGGTTTTCGTTTAAGATGGTCCTAGGATTACGTCAAGAATTAAATGATCCAGTCAGAGAAGTATTAATGGTTGTTGTTAAAGAAGTTTTTAAGAATTTTCATGAGTGCAGCATCGCGAGCAGGTTTAATTTTACAATTTGAACTTCTGCTATTATATAAACGTTCGTGTTCTAAATACTCCTGTACTAATTTATAGGTGATATCTTCCGTCCATTTTATTATTAAAACTTAATATAAAACGTATAAATATTCAATAAACAGTATCGTACAAACTATGTGGCCAGTTTCATTATAAAAGTACAATTGTACGTTTTGACGCGCAAGCGTTGCGTCCTGTCAACTTATGCACTGAACTAAACTCGCTCGTTTACATGAACGGCGAGTTTAGTTGCGGGTGACGGGAGATGCGCGGGAGGGCAGCACTTCGCACTTAACTCGCCGAAAAATAGCTCGGCCCGCTATCCCGTTCAACTTAATCGTTAACTTGCTACTTAACTCGCTTATTGCCGTTCGAACTTAACTCGCCAGGTTCGCAAGTTATCTCGCTACTGTACTTGTCGAAGTGTAAAATAATTGGTCTTTAATGCTAACGAAAATACACTAAAGCGTGTCACATTTGTAGTAATTTTTATCTCTAAGTATATCTCTAAATTATTTGGTTGTTAAATTAACTGCATACTTTTTTTAAACATTTCCTAAATTTACAACCTAACTTTTTTTCCATAAATTCTCTTATTTCTTACAAAAATCCACGTCAGATAATTATAATATATATATGTGTATACTAGTATGTGAGGCAAATCCTTTTGGTGTTGGGAGAGAACAGCAGTGGACTATAAATATATGGTCCTAAAGTTTTTTTTTATATGGAATAAGAGTGACAATCAAGCACAAAGTTCACCTGATGGTAAATGGATAATGTGGCCCAAACAACAACTAGATATAGGTTCTCGATTAAAAATCAAAATGTTGGTGCATTGTTACCCCTGAGGGCTCAGACAGAATGCCTTGTTAGGAGTAAAGTCTCCACTTCTCTACACTTGCAATACGAAATACAGCAGCATCAAGTTGCTGTTTATTGGTATTTCTGTGAAAATATGATCTTTGGTTGAGCCGACTCATACACAACTCATAAACAACACATATACAACTGTAAAATAACTGCAACATGGTTTTACTACGTGAAAAACTTACTTGTAATGCTGTAATTTGCTGCTTCGCTTTCGTTATTTGCAATGTATACTGCATTGCAAGTGAGGAGTTGCCTTTAGAAATCGCCAAAGTATGCTGTTGCACCAATTGCTGCAACACTTTAATCTGAAACAATATAATTTCTTGTATTAAACATATTTTTTTCAGAAGTTGGCTTAATTCAAATAAGAATTAAAAATTAAAATAAAACGCGACAAAATCCGTAAAATTACTTTTATTCAATCTGTAGTATTCATGTAGGGGAATTGTAAAGTATTCAATTAGTTGTCAATTTTCAATAAAGGTAATTTAGATCGTTTCAGAGTAAGTATTTATCGAATTACTATCAAAAACATGTAAAATCAATCGCCAAAAAATCCTTAAAATAATGAAGACGAGCGCAAAATATAAATTATTGAGTATTGAATTCATCGTAAATTAAAAAAAAATTAATAAAGGTAATTTGTGGAATAGAAAAAACCATTTTAAGATTATTTATTTAGTTAAAATCACCAATCAGTACATTTAAAAACTAATAAGAACATGCAAGAAAAACAGAACAGCATTTTTATTTATTATTTTTGGTCCTTAGTATTCTGCCCAGCCGGCCCCATAACTCGCCAAAAATAAATTATTAGACTATATAATATTTGTTCTCGGAGTTACGTACACTTTATGGCAGTATGCACACTACAAACTTTGCTTGAAAAATGTCTGATTACAGTAGTTTTACAGAAAATTATTGTTTTATCGAAAATCAAACCTATTTAATTAATTCTGAATAATTGAAATAAAAACGAAAAAAATAAATAAAATTTATATATATTAGAGATGCGCCGAGTAGCACTTTTGCCAAGTAACGAGTACAGAGTTTTACTCGTTTAAAATTTTTTCCAATCGAGTACTCGGCCGAGTAACTCGGTTCAATCAAATTCCTTTGTCGGGCGCGTAAACAAGTACAAACAATAAAGCGGGATGATCCTAGAAGCCCCATTGCTTAAGAATTAGATCGCTATTTAAAAGAAAATTTGTTGGCAAAAGACAAGAGTCCTTTCGAGTGGTGAGCAGGGCACCAAACAAGGTATTTAGAGCATGCATGTTTAGCACGAGTGTTTCTATGTGCACCTGCATGTACCATGTATAGCGAGCAATTATCTTCGGAGGCTGGTAATGTCTAGTAAGAAAAAAGAAATAAGCTGCTTCCAGAATGTGCAGTGTTGTGTTCCTGCATCATAATTTAGTTTCATTAAATTTTAAATATTGGGTGCATTTGGCAGAAAAAAGCACTAGCAAGTGCTTACTAGCGCTAAAATAGTTATCGGCCAGGACACGATTGCTACTTCAGTAGCGCTGACACAATCCGCCATTTTGCTTATATAATTTGTTTGTTTTGAAGTAGAGTTTATAAGTTGTTTTTTGCAATATTAGTTTTAAGTAATATAATGACATGAATAGACATATACATGTTATTAAAAAATCATGATTGGTAAGTTTTTAATATGAATACTTTACAAAAATATATTTAAATTAGGTTAGGTTCCCCGGTTAAAACTAACATCGTGTCCTAGAGGAAAGTAGCTACTTACGATTTGACAGCGCTTACGCTTACGATCGCCATTTTGCTTACAAGCGCTTGCTAGCGCTTTTTTCTGCCAAACGCACCCATTGATTTTTTTTCATTAACCTTTTCCTAATTTTTTCTCATTACTACTCATTCATTATCATTATTGGGATTGTCAAAGATTTCGCAAATTAATAATAAATACTTTTTGATTAACACTGTTGTTTTAATTATATCGATCTACCAAAATATGTTGCTTCACATAAACCGAATATACTCGGCATTAAAGTCGAGTTATTTGGCCCAGTACAAGTATTAAAAAACCCGCCGAGTACCGAGTATTAACCGAGTACTCGGCCCATCTACAATATATATTTTAACTAAATTCTAAACGCTTAATTTGGGTGAAATGTTGTACTCGGATAAAATGTTACGTCGTTAGTTTTTATAGATAGGTATAGGTTAACCACGAAAAAAAATTTCTCTTTTTTTATAGGATAGGGTGACAAACTAGTACACAGTCCACCTGATGGTAAGTGGTTGCTGCGGCCCATAGACATCTACATCTATTCTCGATTACAAATCAAAATGCAGATGCGTTGTCACCCGTAAGGACTAAGATGGAATGCCTCGCTTCCTGTAAAAAAGGTCTCCGGTTCTCTACACTCACCATACGAAACACAGCAGCATCAAGTTACTATTTTACGCAGGTATTCTGTAAGAGCGTGGTCCGTCCCTGGTCGAGCCGACCCTATCATGCTACAACTAACTACTAATATAACTGCATCATGGCTCTACCATATATAAGTCTCTAACGCCGATAGCATTCATTGATGAAGTTGGGTTGCAGATGGATGAAAGAATGAACTTAACTCTTACTATCAGGTAGACTAATACTGTTTGTCATATCAATTTTATAAAAATATTTTTTTTTATAAAATCAAAAACAAAATCCATTAGACGAAGTAACTAAACCTACACAAAAACATGTAAGTATGGGAAAATCTTCGTAGTAATATTTGCCAACTTGCGCATTCTTGTAGATCTTGTAAAAATGGCAGTTAATTCAGTTACTACCTTTCTTTACAAATCAATATAACATACGAACCTGCTGTAACAGCTGATTAAGCAGCACAAGTGTCTGCGGCGCTAAGGGTTGATTCAGGATCTGATGATTGAGATAGCCAGCTGACACTGCCATTTGTATCTGCTGTACTAACATGCGTAGCTGTGCTGTGCTTGGTTGTCCGCTGTTGCCACTGCCACTGTAATATCCGTAAGAACATCAAAACATAATTACGGAACATTTATTTATTTTCAGAGTTCTATTATGGTTATGATATCCTGAAGCATAACGTAGTAGAGCTATGCTGCAGCTATAATAGTTGAAAGCACGAATGGGTCAACTTGACTGGGGTAGGACCACACTCTAACAGAATACCAGAGTGATATAACAGCTCAAGCCTGCTGTTTCTCGTATGGTGAGTGTACAGAACCGGATACCCCTTTTACTGGAAATGTGGCGTTCCATCTCAGTCCTCAGAGATGAAAACGGATCTGCATTTTGATTCTTAATCGAGGATAAATGTAAATGTCTATGAGCCACAGCATACAAGTGTATACCATCAGGTGGGCTGTGTGCCTGTTGGTTGGTTCTGTCAACCAATATTAGCAAACAGGTATAACATGCACTCCCGTTAGGACACCAAAATTGGCCTATTGTTTAAGTTAATTATCTAGTGTTTACAACTTGCTATTAAATTAAAAAGTTAACAGTTTGTTTCTGGTTTTAACCTTTGAACAACATGGACTACAGACAAGGCCGTAATAAAAAACCAACTTCACTGCATACAAATTTCGATTGTTTTAACCTGCTTTTGTTTTGTCGCGTAAAATGAGGTCGATTTTAAAAAGTTTATAGTATGAAACAAATGTATTGAGGTGTGATGTTTTAATCTTTTTGTTGTTTTGTACTAGCTGTGCCCGCGACTTCATTCGCGTGGAATCAGTACTTTGGCTAATCTATGTGATGATGATTTATTTGTAAATTAAACTGTCGCGAAGACTTAGAGAGACACTAATCTGAATAAAAACATTCAGATAGTCGGTCAATCAGACAAACAAATAAACGGACCCACAAACGAACCAAGAAACAAATAGTTCTCCTATTACGTACGAAACCGCGAGCACATCTAGTTTTTTAATATAGAGTAAAAATACGTAGGTGTATTAGACTGCTAAAAACTAAAACTATTAATTTGTATGTGAAACTCTCACCATAGATTGATTGATTGATTGATAAAACAATTTCGTAATAAAATACGACAGAAATTGTGATGAAGATAACATCTATATTTATTTTATACTCCTCTGAAATTCTAATGAATTTGAACATAGACGGCAACAGACTCATACAACTCTGTCCCAACAAATGTATTGAGGGGTGTGATTTTTTAATCTTTTTGTTGTATTATTTTGTACTAGCTGTGCCCGCGACTTCATTCGCGTGGAATCAGTACTTTTGCTATTCCATGTGATTTATTTGTAAATTAAACTGTCGCGAACACTTAGAAAGACACTAATCTGAATAAAAACATTCAGTTAGTCGGTCAATCAGACAAACAAATAAACGGACCCATAAACGAACCAAGAAACAAATAGGAGGAACTGTATGCTTGTGTTTTATTTTGTAAATAAACAACAAAATGACCGCAATAACGTAATCCCTAATTTGCTCCCGACTTTCTCTAGCCAAAGATATTTCCCTAAATAAGCAAGCTCCATCATTAATTACTGATATTGAATAAAAAATTTGAAATGAAAACTACAATCCAATGCCTACCTAAAACTACGTACCTAATACACTAACAAAATAATGAAATTGCGTACGTATCTATATTTTGTCTCACCCTGCAAACAAATAAAAAATAAAACTAAACTCAACCTAGGAAAGTTTTTTGACCTTTATTAGGTGTTAAAAATACTTATAGCGCCATCTATATAAAATTACCATATAATTTTTATTTTACATAGATAATTATTATTATCTATGTAAAATAAAAATTATATGGTATTTAGAAAAGAATGGGTAGGAATAATATAAATAAACTCAAAATCGGGTAAAGTTTTTAAATTTTACGACAATGTAAATTTTAAAGCTTTTGGAAGTGCAAAAGAGAAGTATAATATGTTTACTGCCAAGCTTCCATATGATATGATCCTTGCCGAAACCAAAAAAATTGTTAATAGCTCTTTCAAAATTTGATTTACCATGTTGTAGGTACTCAGCGGTTAAGAAATAAAATTATAAGCACACCTTAAAATTTAATAAATAATTTGCACAACACCATCTATCGATGACATTGGTTAACTATTGTAGTTTTTTAACTAAGATATTAGGATTTATATATTTTTATAGATAATTATTACGTTACTCTTTATTATTTTTGTTTACTGCGTTTAGATACAATTATATCATTATAGAACACTATTTTACATTATTTAATTACAAAAATGTCCTTGATCACTCAACCCCACCATTGAACAAATTCGTACCTATATTTCGTACCCATACTTCAAAATATTAATCACAACTTTTGATAGGATGAACCTATTTTAATAAAACAAAGACTAAATTTAAAAAGAAGATATGCTTCACAATTTTCCTAACGATTATTTTGATATGAATCAGTACTTTATACATGATACGTTAACAAACAGACAGACAGACAATTCTAAAAATGATAGATAAAAGTATAGTTACTTATTACATTTCTATCAATCAACTTTGTTACAAAAATATATAATGTACAGACATCTGCAATTTACATCTTAATTGTATCTATGTATAGACTATAGATATAGATTGTTATGCAGATAAATTCATAATCCTTACCCTTTATGTACAAGAAACTGGCAAAGTTATGTCACACAATTTTGAATATATATTTTGACAATATTATAAAAGTAGAATTTAATATTTATAAAGGAGAATTAAATAGCTTATTTCATATTGATTCAATACATATGTTTTATATATAGATGGCATACAAAATTAAAAAGATATTATTATTTACATTAGTTCATGCCAGAATTGGGCAACCTTCTCTATAGGCCCTGATGGTTGATGCGTAAAAAAGAAAATGGCCTTGCGCTTGAAGAGCTATGAGTCACTAAATAAAACCCAAATCTATAACTATTCTAATAATGCTGGAAATGGAACACAAACAATGGGTACATTACCATTTCACCGCTGAAATAGGATATTTAGCCAAAGACTGCTGTGTATAAGAGGAGGACTTCATATAAAAGGAGCCTATTGTATCAATTTTTTGACCAAATTACCGAGATACATTAAAAATGGGCTAAATTGAGCCTTTCTTAAACAAGCATGTATGCTTAGATATATATGTATGCTAAAAAAGCAAGCAAGGTGTTTCGGGATCATGCGAAATTGATGCCTGTGGTCTCTGCTTACCCCTCTTCATGACAGAGTTTATGTATGTTGTTATGTTATAATCATTCCTGCCACTTTTACTCTATAGTACTGACCTGTTAGGATTGTACGAGTGGTGATGCTGCACTGGTTGTGGTGGTGGCTGATTGAGCATTTTCTGAACAACTGCGGGCGAAACGGCTGGCACTGTAGGCGGTTGAAATGGAGCATGGTGGTAGTGGTCATCACGCCGCCAGCCATCTCCACGTGCCGCTGCTAATAACTCCAGGGCTTCCTCTGCATTCATGTCGCGGCTACGAAGTGCCGCTTCTACTTCCTCTTTCTTGTAACCTAATTCCACTAAGTACCTGTGAAAGAAACAGTTCACTGAATTTTGTTGTGCAAGCAAATATTAATGTAAAAAGTAAGAGACTTCTTCATCAGTCTACTGTTGCGGACAGCCCCCCCCCCCTCTGGATGCCTGTACGCTTAGCAGGCGGATGACGACAGCCGGTACCACACGCAGCTTACCGTCGCCGATCTGGGTATTTTATGCCTGGCGTAAAAATAATAATCTAAGTAAAGTCATAAGACCTTTCTGGTAATTTCCTTAGTCGTCTCTTACGAATTTCGGGAGTCGAAAAAAAAGTGCAATAATTATCTCAAATATAATATTAATTTGTGTGTCATGTAAAAATAATAATTTACAATCAAAAATAGTTATTCAAAAATAAATTCTACTCATATTGTTGATGTAAAAAAAAATACTGACCTGAACTGCTTGCTATTCCACACCAGTTCTTTTGGAATTTGCTTGCCAAGTGGGCCACTCTGCGGCAATTTCGGTCCACCCCATTCACCAATATCATCAGGCCAACCGCCAGCAGGACCTGCAGGCTTAGGCTTCGGTACGGGCCACAGACCAGGACCTGAAGCATCTGGCCAACCAGCAACTTCGCGTTCAGGCCATCCGGGAGTGTGAGGTTCTTCCCATGAACCATTGCGCTGAGTATGTGCACTCCAAACCGCATCAGGCTTAGTTGGAGTTGGCGGAATTCTTTGAGGAGCTGGAGGGCCCTGCGGGGCTCCACGGCCGGCCATACCCGCTATACCTGCTCGTTGTGCCCATAACGAAGTGCCATCATCAAAACCGCGTCGTGCAGCTGGTGGAGATGGTTCTTCCCATCCTGACGCTTTAATTGGATCCTTGGGGCCCTACATAAACAACTTGTTGAATGACAGAATATGACAACACTGTAGGTACAAATAAATAACACATAACCGCTTGTTTGCTTCTTGCAACCACAGTTGCAAAAACAGAATCCTTAACTTTGCTCTTTGCAACTGTGGTTGCAAAGCGTCGAAGTTCTTTTAATTGAAATTAGACCGTATTTTAAACGCACAGAGTCTAACTATTACGTATTAAAACCAAAAGCAAATATATAAATTATATATTTGGATCAAAATTACCAACCTCTTGGACGAAAAATATTGAAACTTTGTAAGTTAAACTTTATTGAGTGAAGTGACGCTTGAGTGGATTTAAGGAGTTGATAAAATATGTCGTGAGTTATTGATTTTAAGATTTGATTTTTGATTGAATTTTATTGATTTTTGCTAGTATTTATATACCAAATTAACGTCTTATTAGTGTTTTCGTGTATTAAAGTAATATTTTTGCAAATAGTGTATGAAAAATGTGACAAAGTCGACTTTTAAAAATACTCAGAATGACGCGAATCTAAACATAATTTTCTATAGCTTACATTATCGTAATTATGTTGTATTATTTAAATACGAAATAGTCGTAGTGGTATTTGAATATAATTATTCAATTTAAGTAATAAAGTTTTATAAATTGTTCATCATATTATAACATACGTTTTTATGTAATAACAGCCTAGATTGTAACTAACAAATAGCAACCAATTGCGCAATCCGTGAATTCTTCATCAGGTTTCACTTAATATTTTTACTATGTATTTAAATATAAATCGTTTTATAATATAGACAAATATATCAAGTAATTAATTAAGTTTAAGGAAATAATAAATAATCACACACTTATCGATCTTATTTTTTTGATAAACCTGATGTTTTACAAAAAGTCGCTAAAATGGCTTGTACTTGTGATTTCAACACCTCAATATTATTGTTATCATATTTTGATAGAATAACATACGTATTTCTTTTCTTCTTTCAATGGCTATTCATATAATTTAAAATATTTGAAGTGCTCCTCTGGAGTAAGTCATAAATTAAGTTTTATTTACGGCGGGTCGAACGTAAGAAACACAGTCCCGATTACTGGCAAACTAAGCTACCGTTTTTTTGTTGGCAAGCAATGAGCGGTTAAACAAAAATAATAAGTAAAAATTAAGAGTTGTCATACGTTTATAATGGGCAAAATCAACATAATTCTCGTTATTGTACAGAGGTCTTTAGGAGAGTATAGTAAGTAGTCCCATAAGAAATTTAAAGTACATTCAGTAAACTGTTTTATACTGTGTCATGCTCGCTTAAAGGTCTCTGCTTGCGGCGACGTCTTATGACGGGTCGACCACTTTTCTTTAATATCTTTGAAGAGGGCGATATATATATATATATATATATATATATATATATATATATATATTTTTTTCTATTCATGGTAAGTTTCATAATAGAAGATCCCATAAAAACTATTATTTTTTAGTGTGTACCATTATCTGATATTGTAATCTGTTACATATTAATATATGATAATGTGTCTGTGAAAGATCTGTAACTCCTGAAGGACTTGACTGATTGAGGTCATATTTACACAATATATTTGTTTATGCAGACAATGCTTTATAGCTATGCTAGCCATCCTACATGTTTGTGACATACAGACAAACATGCAATCAGGTGATTCCGAATTTTGGCATTGAACATTAATGAAGTTGGTAAAGCAAAGACCATGTGAGCAAAACCATGGGCAAAAGCTATTAATATTACCTGTGCGCCCCACTGGCTCACTCCACCAGATGGCATCATCTTGTTTGGACCACCTGCATGTTGATGATGCTGGCTCCACATATCGCCATTGAGACGGCCGGAAATTCCTCCGCGGAGATCATGTCGTGGATCGGCGGGTTGCTGTCTAGGATCTTGAGAACGATGGGGATCCAATCTGGGATCAGCAGGTCTGTGAGGCTCACCCCAAGCATTCCAATCATCTTTCTTTGGTACGCCCCATTGTTGGGCATGTTGTGGAGGTCCAGCTGGCCACTGTTGTGGTGGAGGTGGACCTGTCCAAACATTTGCAGAATCCGCAGCATCATCATCCTCGCCCCAAGTGCCACCAATGTTGGTAGTAGGTGTATGTCCCCATGGGGTTTTAGATGCCGGTTGAGGTGGTGGTTGACCCCCATTTCTTAAATTAGCTTCCCATAAATCAGTTCCCAAGAATGCACCATTGTTAATATTTGGTTTCCAAGCAGGAGGTCCACCTGCTGAGGGCTCGACCTTAGAACCAGGCTCAGGAGATCCAGGCACATCCCAGTTTGTATCTTGATTCACATGTTGCTGAAAACATTAAATATTGTAGATAAAAACACTGGTGTATTATTGAAAGCATCTTCTGTTTATAATCTATTAATGATAAAATTATACATACGCCACCCCAGCCATCTTGGCTGAACAAGGCTTCCCTCATTGAGTTAAGTTGTTCTATTTTAGCAGATGATGTTGTGTTTCCATTGTTACTATTATTACCATTAGTAACAGAAAGCCCATTAGTACTTCCGACTGAATTAGGAGGGTTGCCACCTCCGTTGTTACCATTTACAGCATTATTTGTACCTTTAACAAAATATAAATTACAATAATTCAATCTTTGATCCAAGAATAACAGAATTTTTACATGTGTTAAGTATTCATACCATTGCTTGTAGGTGCACCATTATTATTGGGTTGTGCATTTGGCATATTTGGGGGAGAACTCTGCCAGCTTTGAACAGCAGCTGCACTTGTAGGAGGCATTGGATTGCCATTGCCCTTATTGCTGTTCACTGTGAAAGCAAACAATATAGAATAATAAATATCATTAAATTACTACATAATGCATTGTTAATTCAAATAAGTAAACTTACTATCTGCTTGTGAAGTAGGTGGCCTTTGTGCGGTATTGTTCCATTGCTGAGTATTGTTTGTCCCATTATTTGCTTGACCACTGGAATTACCACCCCAATTGCCTGCTACAGGTGGGATACAAAGTTCTAACATGATTATTAATATTTCACTTAGAAAATAAAAATAAAACAAGTCACTAATGGTTTTTATTATGCTGAACTGTGGTAGTAGTGTAGTAGTGGTAGTGTAAGGCAGGCAGTGTAAGGATATTCACTACTCCATATCGTACCATGTACCATGTTGTAAGGGGCGACTGAAGGAAATTCAAACAGGGGATGGGCAGCAGCACTTTCCAAATAACTGCAAAATATTTAAAAAAAACTATGGCAAAATCATTCCCTATGAGGCAATTTATGGGGGAGACCTATGTTCAGCAGTGGACATTATAGGCTGTCATCAGTGGATGAACTTTTAGACGAAAGGGATAGACGATGAGATAGATTGTACATGAATCATTTGATCAAAAGTTATCTCAGAGTCGCCTCCTGAGTTTGTATGGAAATTTTATGTGTATTATTAGATCTAAAATTATTAGTGTTGAAAACATAATTAACATTAAAAAAGTTAATTCTTACCATTATTGGCAGTAGGTGGACTGCCCCACCCAGTTGCGGCATTCAAAGAGCTTTCACCACCTCCACAGAGTCGTAAGTGAAGAGGAACACCCCACGAATCAACCATTTTACATCTCTTTATATCATTTATAATTTTCTGCTCACTTTTCACAAGTTCCAGCATAGCATCAAATGTGAGATCACCATTCGCAAAAGTTTTCATAGCTCGCTTCGAAGTTGATTCATGATCACCAACATCAAATGCATTATTGTCATGATATATTTTAACAGGCTTGTCATCATGAGAATTCATTCGAGTTATCGATTTGCATATCATGTAAACAGACTTTTCGTTAAGTAGTTGTGTCTTATCCATGCAAGGCTCATTTATAATACAAACTGAGGATTTAAAAGCGTAATCAGACTTGTTCATATATTCTGGCGCTCCAAACGCCATCTTATATTTTAAGTTAAAGCTACTGAAATACGGGTCACTGTATGAGATACCCTGGACTGTTATGGCGTTAATTGTTAAAGGAATGCAGTAGTTAGGCATATTGCCAATCATTTGGTTTTGTTGGATACTATCAACAAACTCTACATTATAAATATTATTATCTACCATTTTTACACTAATATGCTGACTTTCATTCTTCTCTTCGACTCGCTTAAAAGCACCAAATTTATTTGTGTTCACCACCAAGATTAAGGTGGAGTAATTACATTGCATTGGTTCGGTAACAGTATCAATATTGGAGTAACAATTATCCTTAATTAAATGTGGAACACATAATATTACAGAAACATTAGACATCAGACAATTATTTATAAATAGAATAATTTTCTACAATATCCATCTAGCATTATACTTATTTTCACAGATTGCATATTGTTTCAATTACAGACTAAGTAACAATGGTTCGTAGTGATGCAGTCAATAAAGCAGGTAGCAGTGTTTTATGCCTCTATGGCAGAGGCCAGGGTGAGATCACCGCTGTAGCTGCTGTGGATGTGCCTCCTAGCCCCAATTGGCCCAGCCCTACAAGACAAAGTTACAAGTTTATTATAATGGTTTCAGTAAGTTTGGTTCTAAATAAGTAATATTATATGATAATAAGCAAATAAAACGTAAAATACTTGATACTTTCTAATTAGATAATTCAGTCTCATAAGGTCGTAAACAAACAAATGGAAAACAAGATATACCATAAATTTTGTACCTTGTAGGACGGACGAGAGGCTGAGCTGTATATCACAGATAATGCGGGCTCGGCAGATCCCTTGGAGCAGCTTGGCAGTTAGCTCGTAACGATTTAGTTTATCTGTAGCAACAAAATTGCAACCAATAAAACATTCACATTTTTCAAAATTATACATTACCTAAAAGTCATGCCATCCTCGATCGATGAAAATGTCAACGTTATCAAAAAATATTGTAGGTTATGCTTTTCACTGCTCTACCACCGAAAATACCTTTTTGTACCATGATGTTTTGTTGCCAAGTGGCATATACAATTATAAATCCGACATGAAACTGCGTCGTTTGCAGACGCGATAAGCAAGTATCATGAAATACTAACGGAATTTAAGATTTGACGACGTTACTCCTACCATGTTCGTCGAAATACCAACTTAAAATATTTACCTTATATTCTATGGTTATTTCAAACTTAAATATATAGTTTTAAACATTTCTATGCGAACTACAAAGTATTCTTCAAGCAGCAGGTACTTATAGGTATATTAGTATTTGTGTATTTCGGCCTTGAGACTCGATGTTCAGTACTATACATACATCATGTTATACCAATATCCATGCTACGTATATTTATGTACAACACCTATCTATACTTAGAGAGAAAGTTAGCACGACCTAATATCCACCAAACAAAGATAATTTTGCACTAAACAAACATAAAAACAAGTAAATATGATGAATACAATTCATAAAAAACAAAAATTCCATCAAGATTTATAAATTCCACTAGAGAAAATACATAAAATCTTACGTGACACGAACGAGCACAACGGTGTTATATTACTAGATAGAAGAGGATGGAAAATAAATGCGATACTAAAGTCCCGCGTATTAAAGCGAGACAAAACATACCTCTGAGAAAGCGTAGCCATATATGCTAAATATGTCCCACAAAGATTTCAGGCACAAAAATATGAAAATTAACGAAAACACATTCGTACCTTCGTTTTGTCTAGTTGTTGGCACAATAACTACATAGATTTATACAAAATCACAATCCTAAACCCCCGAGAACACGGCTTCGACGGCTGGATGGAATGATTTCGTCGTCGGGGTTCACACGAAGTGTTACGAAACCATACTAATTCAAAATGGTCTATGGTTTTACTTCAAAAGATGCTCCACTGAGTCTTTTTGATGTAGTCGGATTATAGCAATTTGCTATATATAAATACCTATAACTTGAGTACCTACCTATATCCAATAATACTGTACTTATTACCGTTCACGCCATACCAATAAGTATGCGCTATAAGCATCAATAACTATATAGTGTATTTTCATTAATAGATAATGGTTCAATAATATGTAATCGTTCAGTTCGGGTATCTTCAGTATTTCCGTGCAAGTATCAATCAATCTCAGAATGCAGAAAAAAGTTTTTCTGTATTCTGAGCAATCAATAAGGGTAAATGTATTCTGTGATCATAGCTAATCACAATAAAGGAGCAATGGACTTACATTGCTCCTTTATTGTGATTACTTTATCCTTAATTGTGCAAGCAAGTGAAAAATAGGTACTATGATAGACGCATTTTGTCGTCATACGAAAAAGCTTATATTTTCTATTCTCTATCAGCCTCACATTGTCGTAATCGTAAGAAATTTTTCCCAAAGGTCATTAAGTCACACTACACTACCGCAAAGATGGTTTTGTAATCGGTGATCGCATAAATATTAGATACCTAATACTCTATAAAGGCTTTAATCGCCGTCTATGCATGGCCAACAACCTGTATTCGTCTCCCCTTTAACTGGCTAGTAGCTTAGTGGCTACAAGCTATAACTACAAAGCAAAGCAAAGCTACAAGGTTGACAGATATAGCAAGATGAGCTTGTTTATGTTATGCTATTACTTTTTGGTTTTTTGCTTTTTTTGTAGTGGGATTGTCGGTTGTTGACCTCTGTTACTGACTGTAACTGCTACCACATTTTCCTTAGAGTAAAAGAGAATAAAATCACTATAAAGTATGTAAGTCTAAGAGGCGGGATTCCCTTAATCTCTCACGTACCAAACCTAAACCTATATATAGATTATTAGATTAGGCATGTCGATCTGAAATAGATTAATCGAAAAATTGATCATTTCGAGTAAAAAAAATGATTTTTCATATCGCTTTGGAACACTATATCGATACGACGAATCGATCCAAAAACCACTTGAATCGAACTGATTCAAGAACTAGTGAAAATTTCGTAAAATGGCTGCGGTATCTTACTTTTTAAATTGTTTGCTGTTGTCGCACCTGTGAACGCAACAAATAAATATTACACGTATCCAAAGACGTCGTTACTTACATTTTTTTATAGAATAAGGGTGACAAACGAGCACACAGTCCACCTGATGGTAAGTGGCTGTTGTAGCTCATAGACATCTTCATTTAGCCTCGAATTGTCAACATGCAGATGCGTTGTCACCCCTAAGGACTAATATCGAATATGCCTCGTTTCTAGTAAAAAAATTCTCCCGTTCTCAACTCATCATACGAAACACAGCAGCCTTAAGTTGCTATTTGACGCTGGTATTCTGTAAGAGCGTGGCTCTGCCTCGGGTGAGCCGACCCACTCACGCTACAGCTAATATAGCTGCAGCGTTGCTCTTTATTTTATTTATCAAAAATATATTGTGAGTAAATATTATTTGTTGAAGTTTATAGTAACGAACTAAACAGTATTATGTTCGTGTAACATTCATTTAAATTAAATTTATCGAGGAATGTACATTGCAGTTTGCACGTTTTTTAAAAGTATTGTTGTTCTTATAATACATATATTGTTATTGTTAAACATGTTTGAAAATGTCGCGATTAATCGAAAATCGATCTTTTAATGATCGATTCAATCAAGAATCGATTCTAGTATGTTCGATTTGAATCGATTCGAAGATCTGTTTTATTTTAAGTGACATGACATGCCTACAACACATAAGATAATAAGAAAGTAGGTAATAAAAAAGTAATATTTAGAAGGAACTCCTAAGAACCAAAGACTACATAATCACTACGTTTGCTCAGAACCATATATGTATAAGAGTGCTCACAACGATTTTTTTTATTGCGCCCTCCTTTTTCCCAAGGAAGGTCGCGTCCGTTTACGGCTTAAAGATCTCTCGTGAGATTGTTAAGCCAACCCCGAAAAGTGGTGTTTAGTGGGTAAAAGTCTGCACATAACCACGCAGCCGGCTGCGTGGTATGCTATGAGCATTCGCCATCTCCCTCCCCGTTTAATTGCTTTGAGTGCAAAAGTTTGAGGGTTGCGCTTAATTGCTTTGGGTGCAAAAAAAAAGATTCTTTTTAAATGTTATTTATAAGAATTATACAACAAAATTTTATTAGAATTCGTTTCATTACCAAATTAAGGCCCGCCAAATACATACGGAATTCCATTTCGAGATCCCGTTTCGGAATTCCGAAACGAAATAAACGAGCCGGGCACACACACGCAAAGTTGGCACCGGTTTTAACGCGTCTTTTCCGGTACTCCCTACTCCCTTGGCGTAGTCGCAAAATCATGGAAGACGGCTTTCGTCCACCCGATCCCTAAAAAAGGCGACCGCTCATACCCGTCCAACTACCGGCCTATCGCCATCACCTCTTTGTTCTACAAAACAATGGAGTCTATTGTTAACTGCCAGCTCATGAGGTACCTTGAGGACCACCAGCTGATTAGTAATCGCCAATACGGTTTTCGCCGTGGTCGATCAGCTGACGATCTTCTGCTCTATATAACTCATAGATGGGCGTAGGCAGTAGAGTCCAAGGGGGAGGCATTGGCCGTTAGTTTGGACATTTCGAAGGCCTTCGATCGGGTTTGGCACAAAGCACTTCTTTCGAAGCTCCCTTCCTATGGGCTTCCCGAGAAATTGTGTGATTGGATCACCAGCTTTCTTGCAGATTGGAGCATCAAGGTCGTTGTAGACGGTGCAAGCTCCGATTACAACGCTGTTTCTTCTGCATATCAATGATATGTTGCAAACCCGTAACATTCATTGCTATGCAGATGACAGCACTGGTGATGCTCTGTACACCGGCCGTGCCAATATTTCTCGGGAAAACGTCTCCGAGTACCGGAACAAACTTGTGTCTGAAGTCGGGTCTTTGCTAAACAGAGTCTCGAATTGGGGGTGACTAAATCTAGTCCAGTTTAACACCCAGAAGTCACAAGTTTGCGCGTTAAACGCTAAAAAGAACCCCTTTGTCGTATCTCCCCAGTTTCAAGGCACTCCCCTTGTTGCCTCAGCCAGTATCGGTATCCTCAACGTCGACATATCGAGTGACGTGCAGTTTTATGGTCACTTGGAAGAGAAGGCCAAATTGGCCTCTAAAAAGCTTGGCGTGCTCAGCAGAGCGGGTCAGTATTTCATGCTGGCACACCGCCTGCGACTTTACAAGGCGCAGGTTTGGCCGCACATGGAATATTGTTCCCATCCCTGGGCTGGGGCTCCCTAGTACCAGCTCCTTCCACTTGACCACATCCAGCGCAGAGCGGCTCGAATCGTCGACGACTGAGTGCTTTCCGATCGGCTCGATTCACTAGAGCTGCGAAGAAATGTTGCATCTCTTTGCAATTTATTTCGATTATACCATGTGGAGTGCTCTGAGGAATTGTTCGGATTAATCGCTGCCGCCAAATTTTGTGAACGCACTACACGGCAAACGTCTCGATACCATCCACACCATCTGGATGCTTGGTGGTCCACCACTGTACGTTTCACAAGGAGTTTTCTTCCGCGTACGACCTCTCTGTGGAATAGTTTACCACCGGCGATTTTTCCGGACCGATACGACCTGGGGACCTTCAAGAAAAAAGCTTACTCCTTTCTAAAGGGCCGGCAACTCACCTGCAATTCCCCTGGTGTTGCGGTTGATCATGGGCGGCGGTAGTCACTTAACATCAGGTGAGCCGCATGCTCGTTTGTCCCCTCTTCTATAAAAAAAACATGCGAAATCCTGTTTAGGCCGCAAAATTCCATACGGAAAAATACCGTGCGTGTGTGGCGTGTCATTGATTTTAGATGGACTTGCTGCGTTCGGAATCCCGAACCGGAATTGCGAAACGGAATCTCGAAACGGAATTCCGTATGTATGTGGCGGGCCTAAAAGAATTTACTTCAAATGACGAGTTTCTGACTTTACCTTCCCATCACGTTTACTTCATATACTTCAGTCTATTTCCTTCGCCGTGTAAGCAAGAGACTACTACATTAATTTAACCACAGAAATCTAAATAATTAAGTACTAGAAATGCCTTCTACTGTCTTTTAATATCGAAACGCGTGTCACCGGTTCGCATCTAACACACATAGACAAATAATAAATACACAATTTCGCCTACAGATATCTCTAGCATTAATGCAATAAAGATTAAATTATAAATTATTGCGTTGAGTAATATTTTATAAAAACGCAAAATCTCAGGACGCGTAGCCACTCGGTTCAATAATTAACGTGTGCGAAAAAAGAGAATGACATTACGCGCTCACTCTCACTTGGGCATAGTGCAGCGCAAGCGCAACGCACGTTTCGATAACTTTCTATTAAGCGTCGTTGATCATCCAGGAGTCCCACACCAAGATATAACTAATTAACTGAAAGTGTCTCAGTGACGCGTTCATAACTAGAGAAAAGAGGATATAATAAAACGTTATGGAAAAGTTTATCCATTTATCTTTAATATCCGGATCTTTAGGAAACCTGGAATAATAAAAATAGTCCTGCTAGGTTTCTTGCTGGTTCTTCCCAGGACAGAGGTTTTTTTTGCAAACCAGTAGTAAATGAAAAGCGACTTTCAATAAGTATGGTTTATAATCTACATTGAATAAAAAAGTTTCTGTTTCTGTTTCTGTATAAAATAGCATTGTATTAAATAAACAGATGTATAAATAAAGCGAATACAACATTATACAAACAGCAAACAAATAAATATATATATGGGTGACATACATAATACATACATAAAATACATAAAC